ATTGCTCTAGCTTGGTCTCTCCTGTATAATATCATTGTGTAAGAAATGTGTATGTTCTTCACATAAAAGAAATACAAAGCATCTCTGAAGGTAGGCCTCTCCCATGTTTATTCAAATCTTTTTTAACTTTGTAGGGACTTAAAATTAGCAAAACTTATTATCCAGCATAAACAGAACAGATGACTGGGGATACAAACATTATATATATAGCCAACACAGGACACATGGTAATCTTGATTACTTGTTTCTGTAGGTCTTCTGTCCTCCTCAGATTTCAGTTAAAATGTACCTTTGAGATACTATATGAGTTTTTTGGCAGATGGCCTTCTTTTTTCTCCAGTGTACAGTCTTCAATTTTTATGTACTAGAAATTCTTTACATACTGTACCTGCACTTATTTTGCAAGTACTTTCATGGTATGGAAGTAACTTGATGAAGGAAACTTCATCAGAGGTGAAATTGCTATTGTAAGGTTTCCTGTGCTTTCAGAGTTAAAATCAGAAGTCAGACCTCAAGAAGAGCAACCATAGTTTGGAAAGGATCTATAGAAACTCTTTTAAAAGTTTCTTCTGGCTGTTCCTTTCTTCAGCTTCATAGTATCAGAGGAAAACCCCTTGTTCTTGCGGCAAAAAAAGGAAATATTCCATGTGCCCTCATTAATCTACTTCTAATTTTATAGAGAAATAATAATTCTAAATTTGGATTGATGACTCACCATGGCTTCACTGTATTTTGAAGAAAATTCAATGCTGTGTTGTGGCTGATGCTTAGAAGAAGAAAACTGTTCTTGTTTCAGATCTTAAAGTGAAGCACTGAATGTTGTTAGTGTCAGTATATAAATGTAGTATCTTCTTGAAAGTGATTATGTGTAATATATAATTACTAATCTAGGCTATGGAAGAAAATATAGGGCTTTCAGAGTTCTGTTTGAGAGCAAAAGGAGAATATATACTGAAGAGGGTGAGAAGTTCAAGCAAAAAAAGAATTTGGGCAGCTTTAAAAAGGAAAGTGCCAGTAGGTGTTAGGGAATGTAAGGCATGCCAGAGATACTCAGAAAAGCAGGAAAGGAGGCCTGTTGCTATGGTGATGCCAAAGTCAATTGATAGTAGCTCTGTGCTGGCCTTGTGCTGTTGTTACAAGGCATTATCTCTGGTTTGCATGGCCAGGTTTTGGTACTGGGGGGGCACAGGGGCAGCTTCTGTGAGAAGCTGCTGGAAGCTTTCCCCAAGTCCTAGAGAGCCACTGCCAGCTGGCTCCAGGGTGGGTGTGCTGCTGGCCCAGGCTGAGCCCCTGAGTGACTGTGGCAGTGCCTTTGGGATAACAGATTGAAGAAGGGAGGAGAAAACCTGCACAGCTGCAGCTGGAGAGAGGAGCGAGAACGAGTGAGAGGAACAGCAAACACCAAGGTTGGTGGAGAAGGAGTGGGGGAGGAGGTGCTCCAAATGCTGGAGCTGGCATTCCCCTCCAGCCCCTGGTGTAGGCCATGGTGAGGCAGCTGTGCCCCTGCAGCCCAGGGAGGTTCAGTGGGACCACAGAGATCCACCTGCAGCCCATGGGGGCACCCACGCCACCCACACGGGTGGATGTGCCTGAATGAGACTGGGACCCTGTGGGAAGCTCACTCTGGAGCAGGTTTGACAGGACTTAGGACGCTGTGGGACACCCACAGCTGTTCCCTAAGGACTGCACCCCATGGAAAGGACCCACACTGGAGCAATTAATGAAAAAGTGCAGCCTGTGGGAAGGATTCAAATTGGAGAAGTCCATGGAGGACTGTCTCCTGTGGGAGCAGGGCAGGAGTATGAGGAGTCCTCCCTCTGAGGAGGAAGGAGTGGCAGAGACATGTGATGAACTGACCATGATCCCCATTCCCCATCCCCATTTCCACTGAGGGGAGGAGATGGAGAAATTTGGAAGTGAAATTCAAGCCCATGAAGAATGGGCCAGGGGGAATTGGTTTTAAGATTTGGTTTTATTTTTCTACTCTGCTTTGACTAGTAATAAATGAAACTGATGTCCCCATTTTGACTCTGCTTGCCCATGAGGGTAACTGGAAGTTGTTCTCTCCCTGTCCTTACCTCAGCCCATGAGCCTTTTGCTATATTCTCTGTCCCACACCCAGGTGAGGAAGGAGTGACGGAGTGCTTTTGGGGGGTACCTAGCATCCAAGCCCCTACAGACATAAAGTCAGTATATATAGTTGTTGGCTCTAAAATGAAATACATATTGAGAAATTCATTACAGCTGTCTCACCAAAAGGATTTATTTACATCTTCTTGTCAAGCAATATATGCAGATTTTATCTATAAAAGCTTAAAAACATTCCAAAAGTAATTAAAGAAAGGTGATAATAAGATTTGCTACCATAGTAATTAAATTTGTTTGAGTACAACATATGAATCTGTTCAGATACTTCATATGAATGATGGAAACTTTAAAAACCCAAAACCATAGATGGAGTTGAGTAATATTTCTGAGGCAAGGGGGAACCATAGAGAATTAAAAATAACTTTGAATATAGAGATCCAGATAAAAAGATGGCATAATTGTAATAGATTGCAATTACTTAGCTTTACACTGGGATACAGATACAGGGGGGGTGTGTGTGTGTGTTTGTGTGTGTATGTATTTCTTTACTGTATTTCCGTACTTCATTTGTTTTAAAATGTAGAATTACTGAATTTAGTGGATTTTGTATTGTAAATTCAGACATGTGGCCTCAGGCAGCTGATGATGAAAATTTCAGGAGCAAAGACTAGTTGAACTAGCAAAATAATGAAAGTGATAAATGATTATTTTAAAAGACTGTGAGTAATATAACATGTAGTAGTGTAATTGTGTTATATAGTTGTGCAACTGTGTAATTAAAATTTATGTGAGTTATTTTCTACTTCTAATTTCTAGTTTTCAGCTGGAGAATTTGGTACCTAGCATTCTAGAGAGTTTCTCTTTTGGGAAATTTCATCTTATTTTTGAGTTAAATCTTTGAATCCTTGAGATAATAGAAAAGGGAAGACACAACTCATGTTGACATCTGTGTGAGGTGTTGTCGATGTTTGGAAGTTTTTCCCAATTTTTTTTCTTTTTCCCTTCTTTTCTTCATTGTTCTTGAAAATGGTCAAGGGGTTTGCTTGCTTCCTTTACCTTGTGCTTTCCCACCCAGGCACTTCCAGTGGACTGGGAAGTAGTGATAGTTGACATCTTTGTGTTTAAGTTACTATTAAAATGAAGTGTGAGTTTTGAATATTCAGGAACTTTCATGTAGCTTTGAAACACATTTTATCAGCAAAATATAAATATAAAATTTTGATCACGTTTGGGATGACTCACTATAAGACACATCTCAGTAATGTTCTTGTTCTGGAACTGCTAGGACCTGGAGCCTTGAAGGGACAGGAAAAACATGGAAAAGTTTAAGCAGAAAAACAAGTATTTCAGTACTGTGAAAGACTCTATCAAGATGAGTTACAGTTCTTGGAATATTTGTGGTGTCTGCAAGAAAGTAAGCACTATCAGGGTGTTGTCTCTCAGTACTGAGGAAGAATATATTTTTTAATTACTCTTTCTTCCTAAAATCCATGTTCTGGCTCTCTTGAAATATTTTTAACAAGGCAGTGTTTGTCAAATAGCATGAGTTGATTCCTGAAGAAAGGTATCTAAATTTAGCTGAATCTCTGTGTTAAAAATAGTGGATGAAGAAGGAACCCTAATCCAGGGTCTTATCTAAAAATAGTACAGTATGTGTAACTGGGAGTAGGAAAAATGCACATTTACCTACAGCAGGAGTCCAGAGAGGGAGTTGATGAGTGAAGTATAAATATAATAATGACTTAAAGACTTAAGTGAGTCCTAAGGGCTAAAATTTTAATCCCTCCGAGGATTTAGATGAAGTTATGTCCTGCAATACATTTACCACTTCTCTAAAAATTTGAATCCATCGTTACAGATGAGAATTCAGAGTCAGGTGTCCTGGCTATGTGCCATTATTTTTACATGAAGTTTTATTCTGTCAGATAAAGTACATGAATATTGTTGCTATTTATGTGCTCCTTGCTCTGAGAGATACCTATATTGTTATGCTAGAGGTCTTGTGAAAGTTTGGTGCATACCATAGAGGTGAAACTAACTAACAAAGTGCAAAATAACTTGATAACCATAAAAACTAAACCACCAATGTGTTTTGTGCAGCAATTTCATTTGAACACCTATGAAGTAGATTTGTGGCTTTGCTTTGTTGTGTGTTTTAAGGCTGGTACTGTAAGGAAAAGGTGAACTAACTGCTTCTCTTTAGTGTATTTGGGAAAAATGTGCTGCAAACAGTGGAAAGAAATGATTTGGTCCCGTGTCTTTCTTAGCACACTGCGTTGTATATTTTGTGTTAAACAGTCTTGTAGTATGTACCAAGGTCTTCTTTAGGAGTATAGTAGCTTGATGTTGTTGTTAGCTTTTCTTTTACTAGCTGAATCTAGTAAGTTGCTATAGTCATTTTAAACAGTCTTCGTTACTACTTTGCTTCTTCTCTCTTGAACAAAACTGTGCAAAAATTCTATACCATATATCAGATGCATAAGCATTAGTGGAGAAAACCTACTTGACTGTTCAAGAAAATGAAACAGTGCAAAAAAATGAAGAATAAATTCTATTTCAATTTAAACTAGACAGGAGTCAAGCTTACTTAAAGAAAATATTTTGAGGTATCTGTACAAATAAAGATGATCAACAAAATCGAGATATTTTTTAAGGAAAGGAAATATGTTATATGTAACACTATTTGATATTTGGAGTGTCCATAATTGGAATTTTAAAATTGAAATGCATTCTTCTCCATACTCACACACTCTTGAGTAAATAATCCAGAGATATTTTTGAGGAACAGCTAAATGTTAGTGATGTTTCAAAACTATGGATAATTTCTTCATCAAAAAGAATGGGACAAGTCCCATTTACTCAAGTTACAACTTTTTTTTTTTAACCTTAATGCATTTTTTTTTTTTTTTTAGGACACAAAATTATGGATAATAATGGAATATCTGGGTGGAGGCTCTGCCCTTGATCTAGTAAGTAAATGATGCATTTTTTTTTACTTCACATAATTATATTCCTATCTTATAATTCTAGAAACTATAATAGATCACTTGACTGTGGCAATATTCACTTTCAGGAAACGATAAAAGTATTTGTCAATGCCAGAAAAATGTTATTTTCCATGAGGCATGACTGATTATTTGTGTAAATAGAAGGGAACTAAGCAACATAATATTGGAAGCAGGATATAAACATCTTAGAATGCTAATCTTCAGTCAGCCAGAGAGCACTAGTGCCTGAAAATAGATTTTTGTATCTCTTAATTCTGCCACCACAACCCTTATACAAATTTATACATTTTAATATATCTTCCTCACCATCCCCTCCCCCAAACAAATAAACAAAAGGTTCCTTGTTTGAAGTCTTTCTGAAGCCTAAACAGACAGAAATACAATTTCGGCTGGTATTAAAAATAATATTTCAGAGAAACAGAAGCAGCTCTGGACTCCATGGAGGGTAGAGAGGCCTTGCAGGAAGCCCTGGATAGACCAAAGGGCTGTGCAATCATCAAGGGTATGAAATTTAACAGGAGCAAGGACCTCATTCTGCACCTGGGATGGAGTAGCCAGGTTTGAATTGGAATTCAAAGGGGTCAGTGCAGATCATGTTTTCTGTAACTGAATGCTGGTATTGAGCTATTAAAAAGCACCCAAGCCCCTTCCCAAATGACACACCTCCATATGTTCACTGTGGATTTGAAAAACGCTATTATAGAAATAATAATGCATGTTTTAAGTATGTGAAAATTGTTATCCAAACTGTGACAGAATGTCTTTGTAGCAGAGTTTGCAGTTGTCAAATAGGATAACTGATAAATGCTTGAGGAAAGAGCAAAAGGAGCAAGGTCACTGTAAGGGGATTCTGCTGGTGACATCCAGAGCACAGGAGTGGGTATTAAATGTGGGCTTCCTGCAGTTCTGTATTTTTGAATGCATTTATACCTTTAGCTTCCACATCTGTTAGGAGTTCAGTGGTTGTTAAGTTCCCCATAAAGATACGATAAAAAAATCTGGATTTATTGTTGTGATCACTTTTTTCTTCCAGACAGAAGAGCAATTAGAAATTGTGTTTGCTTTTATAAATTAGCTATTTCTTTCTTTGTATAGGTATAAGAGAGCAGAATGAAAACACGTTTCCATGTTTTCTTCTTTTTTTAAAATCTCACAAATTTCACTTGTGTGATCACTGTGTGTTTATTATCTAAGTTTGTTGCCTAGAAATAGTAGAAAGTACTTGTTCACATCTTAAAATATTATTGAAGAGATTTCACTCCAGAAATGAAATCATCCTCTAAGTGTCTATTAAGCACCTTTTGTGTGCTTCATTAATTTTCAGTTTATGTTCTGGTGTATGTTCTCCTAGTTCTAACATGCACATTATGGCTCTCAACTAGAGCCTGGCATGCTTTGCCACGTTTTCATACTCAAGGCAAGGATTGCCAAGATCCTTGAATTCCATGTTCTGAGTGCACACGTGTCATTCTAGCTTGGTGTTTTCTGTACTTGAATATGCATGAATATGGATGATTTCAAAATCCTGCCTCACAAGGAGAAGTACATATAGTGCAACTGCATGTACATTTTTGGTCAAACTTTGAGTATAGTTCAAGTTTGTGACCAAGGTACAAGTGCCAGTCTTCTCAGATTTACTCTGTTTTCGGTAATTTCTCCTCACTAAGGTGAGCTGAAGGTGACATAAGAGGTTTTCCCCCATTAGATGTGCTGTGTCATGTTACCAAGTCTCAAACTGGTGCTCACAGCCTGGCTGGAGCAAAGCTTTGAGAATGTCTTATTGGGTTTCAGTGGCAATATTGTGTGTATTATCAGAGCTAAGGAAAAGCCAATAAGATTATAACTAAAGCTGCAAAGATAAAGCAAATGCATTGTTACATGAAATATTACCTCTGTTGCTATGCATGAGGATTTCTGAGGGATGTACTATTTTTAATTTTTATCTGAAAATCCTTATCTGAAATGCTTTCCTTCTCCCAGAATGAAGCTTTAGAGGTACAACGTTTTGATTGTGATTCAGTGAGTGCTGTTGTGCAGTGAACTAGAATAGTGGAATATTTCCAATATTAACTGTTGGACACAAAGTTTCAGTGTCTCCCTGGAGATGCCCTTATTAAGGACAGGGTTTAAGATGCCCTTATTGTCTCTCTGGGTAGTGGCCTTTCCTCTGTTATTCTCACTTTTAGAATTCATATGACATGTAAAGTACTTTGGGATCATGTAATGTTACTGATTCCTCTCATAAGAAAAATTACTTGGAATCTTTTAACAATTAGCAGATTTATATTTCCAGTATTACTTGAAAAAAGTTAATGTTTTAAAGGTAATATTCTTTCAGCCTGTCATTTTGAATTGAGTTTTAGAGCGTTTCTCAAAGTCCAGTGCAGTATGTAGTCACAGACTGATGGATGTAGTACCTTGAATGTCTTAGCTTATTGCTCAGGCTTTGAGATTTGGGTCCACATAGGGTCTGTGGAGTTGCACATCTAAGTTCAGTGTAATGTTAACAATCAGATGCTTTTCAATGGCATAGTGTATCTGACCACAAAGCAAAAACTTGAGGCTCTGTCTTTATGGCACCTTTAACAAATTTTACATAATATTTAAAATAAATTATTTCTTTGCCTGTTGTTCATTAAGCCATTTAGTTTAGAACTATGTGTTTTAAAAAAGAGTATTTTGTTTTGTCTCCCATTATGAAGTTAGAAAATTGGAAGTTTTGAGGGCTGACAGAAGGAGTAGTTTCTTTTTATAGTCACAGTGTTATTTTTGTTCTCTGTTTGTCCTTTTTTTATACATATTTAAACATTTCTTGCATCTCCTAGTTAGAGCCTGGCTCACTTGATGAAACTCAGATTGCTACAATATTGAGGGAGATACTCAAAGGACTCGATTACTTGCATTCGGAAAAGAAAATCCACAGAGATATTAAAGGTAAATTGTTTTATTTGTGATGAAAGAATATCAGAAGAACTCATGCAAACCTGTATGAGCACCCTTACATTGTCAAATGGTATCAAATATCTTCATTTCAGGTATTTCTTCTTCTTTATTCCAGCTGCTAATGTATTGCTGTCAGAACAAGGGGAAGTAAAACTGGCAGATTTTGGAGTAGCTGGGCAGCTAACAGATACACAGATAAAGAGAAATACCTTTGTGGGAACACCATTTTGGATGGCACCTGAAGTAATAAAGCAATCAGCATATGATTCAAAGGTGAGGTACTTCAATGCATTACTAAAGTTCCTTCCTTTTTCTGAATCAAATTGCATAGGTTGGTCTTCAGAATGCAGCTAATAACTTTGGCTGTGTCTACATGAGGATGTGTTCAGATGACACCTAGCAGCTAAAAGCTGTTGGTGAGGAAAGGTTTCCTAATTTGTATCTAAAGTTTACGTTTTCTAGTTTATTAAGACAATCCAGATGGCAAGAAATGATACAGTACTCACGAGTGCATCTCATCACCTTTTTTTCCCACTCTATCGATGAGTATTTTTGGCTGTTTTAAAAGTAGAAGAGTGCAGATATTTAGAAAAAGTAGAAGAGTGCAAATATATTCATAATGTTAATATTCTTCCTCTTGCTTTTAGAAAAAAAAATAGCCAGCAACACAGTTGAAGAATATGGATTTGGTGGATGTGAAAGTGTTGTTTGAAAGGACTGTTACTCATCTCTGGCAAAATGTGCTGCTCTGACCGTGTTCTTTCAGATTTGCCATTTGGGAGGTGTTGATATTAAGTACCAAATTTATCTATATACAGGATTTTGATCTAGGAGAGTGGCACATCAGCATACTGAAATCTCAAGACAAGCACAAAATACCAATTGTAATACATAGCTGGGTCACAATAGAAATGTGATTCCATGACTGTTCTCTGTATTCTCACCAGTATGGCACTGTGTGTCCCTTCTTTCCAGGAAGGAATATGCCCACTAGAGCCACTTCAAGCGTATTGCTTTTTTTCAAAGTTCTTTGTGTTGGTTACTTGTTTTTTATGCTTCTGTTGGTTTGAGGTACATCTACAGCTCTTTGCTGCCCCTGCCTTCTCCCTGCCCCACACGGCCTGGCTAGCTCAGCAGGACCCTCATGTATCAGGAAAGGCACCCATGTATCTTTGCCCAGCCCACTGCTGCAGCTGTAGGTCTGAAACAAAGGTCACCCTCAAGCCCAATTTGTGTTAAGATCAACTTTCTTTATTACAATAATCAGTATTTCCTTATGTTCTTCCCTGAGCTCATCTTCCTTGCCCATCTCCTCTGATTTCCCTTTAGGGATTTGTTGATTGGTTGTATCTCCATGCAATGGGACAGGTTGGGATGTTTCTTTCCATTTGCCAAGGCTGATTCTGGTCTAGGCTATACTACTGCTTAATTCCCTATTTGACATCTTTCTGTAAAGAGGCTATAACAAGCAAAACACTGTGGAACCTATAGAAGCTTAAATAACCCCCAAATCCCAATTTAAAGTTGAGTAAACATTTTTTGAATGGTGGTAGTTGTTTTTTCCCTTTGTGTGTTTTTGTGGGGGATTTTTAGTTAGTTTATTTGTTTTGGTTTTGGTTGGTTGGGGTTGGGCTTTTTGTTTTTTTGAGGTTTGGCTCCTGGGAGTGACCATCACTTGGACAAAGTATGATTCAGCTCTTACGTTTTCCATTCTGGCTGTTTCAGTCTGCAATGTCATATGGACATAAGAGTCTTGGATACTTGATGAGGATTCCCAATAAAAGCTTGAAAGGGCTCTAGGTTTTGCCGGTGCTTCTGCTTCCTGTTTTGATTCCTGTCTTATCTGAAAACATGTTTTCTTAACATGCTTCATTTTCATATATCTAGTTCTCTGTTCTTTCTACTGTAAAACTTGTACTGTAAAAAGTAGATATTTAATTTGAAAGTGTCTTTCTTTTGCACATAGCCTGTTTCTTTGAATTACAAGAACTTCAAAGCCAGACTGAATTTTACTCATTAGATTAGAAGAGGAAAGGCTTATGGCAGTATTGCAGTAAATAGTAGTTACCAGTGAGTTGGTGACTGTCATCTGAACTTGGAAGAAGAATTTCTGTTCAAGATTTGAAACTTTAAAAATTGCAACATGTGAATGGACTGTCACCACATCCTGAGGTCATGCTTATCCCTCTCCATTTGGAGAACTATTTGTGCTTGTTCTGGGGTTTCACTGTCACAGTCAAGTCCATCCCAGAAATGCCTAATTGGGTACATGTGCAATTGGTACTTCCTTTCCTATCTGTGAAAGGGGAGGATATGGTTCCAGAGGAATATGGGGTTAGTTATTTTTGATGATGGGTTTCCAAAACCCATCTGGGACTTCAAAGAGTCTAGTGTGCATGACTATACCAGCCATGGTTTGTTGCACTTTTTTGTTCATTTTGTAGAGGAAGGTCACTAGCAGTAGAGTTATAAGTACATGAGGAAAAAAGGAAGTATTTATATACATATATGTGTGTGCAGGTGGAAGTCTGTGCACTCAAACACATGTAAATTTGGTGTTTATACTTCATATACACATTCTCCACCTGTGACTGAAAGTCTGGAAAAGTATCCATTTATGTGGCTTTAACACTTCACTCTTGAGAAACTGAAATTCTGAATAAATTGGAAATAATAATACTCAGTTGTTAACATGAAGACTCATCTTCACAGGTGACATTTTTCTTTTGTAACCAGGAAAAGCTTTCCTGCTAGAGGGAAGTTACTCATAATTAGGCTTGAGGACAGCTTAGCTGATAATGCTCTTATTAAGATAAATGAAACTCAGGGCTCATGTGCTTATGTAATTCTTTGTGCTCAGGAACTGTTCTGTAACATGGGCTAACAAAATGGCATTTCATAAATTCAATGGTATGCTAATTGACTCTTTTTTTTTTTTTTCTTCATTATTACTTGCAAAATTAAGTAACTAAGCTCTTAACAGTAGGATACTGTCTGAACAAGGAAGGAGGAGCTTGTTTTGGGCCAGGCACTGTGGCTGTGATAGTGGAATGGATGTGTACAAGTCTGTCAGGGATAACCATGAGAATCCACAGGGGTGACACAGGTGGGGTTCAGGGGTACTTTGTAAAGGCAGCAGTGATGAATGAAATCTCTGCTCTGTCCAGTACCTGGAAATAGTTTTGTTTACAGCATATCAAAATTCCAACTGCTCTGTTTGGGAGTAAAACCAGACAGCTTATGTCAGATCTTTCCTGTTTTCCTGAGAATAAGTCTTTGTTCTTCTTTCACTTAAAAAGAAACAGGAAAAAACCAAACATAAATATTTTAATTGGTATCTTGTACTTGGAACAGACATTTCTGTGAAAATTTTTTTATTTTACCTTTCTGACAGGTTTATGATCCATTCTCTTGACTTTTGGGTCTGTGATTTCAGCAAAACCTAAGAGAATTACAATGCATTGCTTCACATTACTTCAGGCAGATTTGCAATAAGATTTGTGTCAAGGGAGACAGCATTCCCTAGAAAGAGTAGCACATTTTGATGGTGAAAATTTTTAGAGGCTACTTGGACCAAAAAGCTGAATATTACTGTACAAGATTGCATTTCTCTAGTCTGTGAATAAGAATGATAAATAAAACCAGTGTTAAGCTCCAGGGAAGTTATATTCTAATGTATTAAACTTCTGATGGTTGTACTAGCTAATTTATGTTGAGGAAAAATCTTGTGCAAGTTAAAACACTTTATGTAAATATTTTAGATTTACCCCATATTTACAGAGTGTGCTTGAATATGGTAGATAAAATGATGGTTTATAACAACTCTGCCATTGCTTTTTGGTGTAGTAGTATTGATTTCAAAAAAATTTAAACTCTGCTTAGTATAACTTTTATACAGAAGAGTGGAGACAACCAAGAAGCTCTGTTTACTTGGGCTATGAGGCTAATCACATAAATCAATGGTAACAAAACCAATTTGCACAGGAAGTTATTTACAGTAAAGCTTGAAAATCTACCTTTACAAGTGTGATGGTTGTGACTGGGGTAAAATTAATTTCTTCACAGTATCTTGTTTGTGGCTGTGTTTTGGGTGTGTGCTGCAAGTGCTGACAGCTCAGGGATGTTTTCCTGATTGCTGAACAGCCCTTGCACAGAGTCAAGGCCTCTCCTGCCTTTCACCCACCACTGGGCAGGCTGGGGGTGCACAGGGAATTGGGAGAGGACTCAGCCAGGACAGATGATCCCGGCTGACCAGAGGGATATTCCACACCATGTGGCCGCATGCTCAGCAATGAAACCAGGGGGAAGTCCCTGCTGCTCAGGGACTGGCTGAGCATCTTTCTGTTGGTGGAGAACAGCTCTTTCCACTTACATCACTTGCCTTTCTTGGGTGTTAGTTCTCTTTATTTTCTTTTCCATTATATTTTTATTATTATTATTGTTATTTTATTTCAATTATTAAACTGTTCATAACCCACAAGTTTTCTCCTATTACCCTTCAAATTCTCTTCCTCCCCCATTCCACCAGGGGACGGTGTGAGCAAGCAGATGTGAGTTGCTGGTTAAACCAGAGCAGCAAGCCAACACTTTCTTTTCTTTCTCCAACCTCATCTTAAAAGCATTCTTTCTTACAGGCAGATATCTGGTCATTAGGAATAACAGCCATAGAACTTGCAAAAGGAGAGCCACCTCATTCAGAACTACATCCAATGAAAGTTTTGTTCCTCATTCCTAAGAACAATCCACCAACGCTGGAAGGAAACTTCAGTAAATCCCTCAAAGAATTTGTCGAGGCCTGCTTAAACAAGGACCCAAGCTTTGTGAGTTTCATGTTTGTCAGTGTGTAGTAGAGAACTTGACTGCTTTACATGGATTGCATGAGTAAGTGTCATTCAGCTTCTCTAATATGGTGTGACATAAGTGACAGGTATATTTTTAGTTACTGTATATATTTAAAATCTCATTTGTATCAAGACTGAACTCTGGATTTCTTTGTTTTTGTAGTGAGTCACTCAACACTTAAACATAGTAAAAAAACCCCAACTCTCTCTTTTTTTCTTTTAAGAGACCTACTGCAAAAGAGCTTCTAAAACACAAGTTCATTTTACGAAACTCCAAGAAAACATCTTACTTGGCTGACCTCATTGACAGGCATAAGAGATGGAAGTCTGAGCAAAGCCATGACGACTCCAGTTCTGATGACTCGGATACGTGAGTTTGAGGAGTCTATAAAATATCGTCCTTTAGGAGCCAAGGAGTTATTTTTAGCACATGTATTGCTGTATTCAGTTATTTGCAGCTTTTCAGCTTAGTGGCCTTGCAGTCTCAATTTTAGTATTGGCAGGGATTTTGTGCAAGTAACAGTCACTGAGGAAAATCTCTCCTGGCCCATATTCTATGCTGCCTTCTTTTTATGTAGGGTCCAGGGTTCTTCCTAGACAGGAGCCCAGGTCTCAAGCTGCACAGCCAAGTAACACCGTGCAAATGAGATTCAGGTGAAGAGGTTGCCACAACTTATTCACAAATGGATTAAATACCTCATAGTAAAGGAAACACAACTATTCTCTGCAATTCCAGGCTGCATGCTAATGGCAAGCATCAGGTTATTTCTTGGGTGACGTTACAGCTATTTCTTTACAGTATTAATGACTTCATGCCTTCCAGTGACCACAGTTCCAATGTCTTAGCTATTTTTCTAGGCAAGAAAAGTGAATTCAGTTTTCTAATTTCATCCCCTTTTCCTAATGAGTTGAGGTACTCTGCTAAAGCCAGTTTTCAGATAGCAATAAAACACTTCATGTAACTTGTTTATATGACTTGGGAAAATGTTTTCACTCTGTAATGCTTCACTTCCTTAAATCTGGTGGAGCAGCTTGGTTTAAATTTTTAATTTACCCAAAAAAAAATAAGTTACCTTAATTTTCATACTTGTCTTTATATGTAATGGCCTGCACAATAGAATCCTGATCTTGGTCTTTACTGAGTTTTTATATTTAGTGTATATATTTAATGAACATCAGCAGTAAGGTGTAGGTAATAAAAATTGATTTTTATTTTTTCCTTTCCCTTGAAGTGAAGCAGATGGTCAGGCTTCAGGTGGGAGTGACACAGAAGAGTGGATCTTTACAATAAGAGAAAAAGACCCCAAGAATCTAGAGAATGGAGCAGCCCAGCCTTTGGAGTTGCAAAGAAATAAGGTGCTCAAAATATTGACTTCATAATACAAGGAGATAATTCTGCTTTAATAATTTAGTGGGGTGATTTTATTTTATGCCTTTAAAAGCATTTATATTGTGAAACTTCCAGTACTTTTGCTAAAAATGTGTTTTCTACAGTTGTCTTTCACAAAACTTTCTGAGTAAGTCTTGAAGTTTGAGCATTCTTTTAATGTGTCTTTTTTTGTAGTTGACAAAATACGTACCAAAATATTTCTCTAGTTTGAAATATAACCACTGGAGGAAGACCAGGCAATATTGTATTTTTAAAATCTCATTCTGTATAGTAAACTAAAACCAGTGCAGTGCAAATCTAGCTCAGAGTTTTAGAGAAGGCATTTTGGTCTTTTAAGGAAAAAGAGTACAATGTAACAAAGAACAAAATGTGCCTGTGTCAAAAAAAAAAAAAAAAAATCCAAACAACCTAGAATAAAGAATGTTTAGGAATTGCTCCATTGTATTTTCTGCAACCTGTGTGGCCACAGCAGGTTGTTGCTTTGCTGGCTCTGAAAATTCTGGAGAAATAGAAGAAAAATATTGTATCATCCAGGATGAACCTAGTAAATATCAGCACATTTATGACTTAGTTAATGCTTAGTAGAATTGTGGGAGTTTGGATGTTTTGGTTTGTGGTTTGGTTTTTTTTTTCCCTTCTAATTTTGAGCTTGCATGTATTTGAGGTGCTGCAGTCTCAAATTTTAATTCAGCCTTTATTTTCCACAGTGCTTTGGAATAGTATGTTGTAGAACATTTTCCATATATGGAAACAGAGCTTTCATAAAGTGTAGCATGTTGGAACTACATTTTGTCTTTAATTAGCATACAATGAGGATGCTTTTTTTCAAAAATAAAATTGGTCAGATTTTTTTTTTTCTTTAAAGGAAAAGGATATCCCAAAGAGGCCTCTATCCCAATGTCTGTCTACAATTATATCCCCTTTATTTGCAGAGGTAAGTTATAGCTTTAAAACTTAACAATTCCAGGGTTTATCTGAAAAAGAAATTGAAAGTATTATGAATGATACCTGAGATTGCTACTACCCATTTTGAACTTGCTGTGTTAAGTTTTAGCTTGGTATGTCTGCTTCTGAGATCTGTATTTTGCTTCTAACAATACTTGATATGCATGGTAGTAACATCAGCCATGCTGGCCTGAAGCAATGAACATGACAAGTAAAAGGTGTGTAAATATTTGGGTTGCAGCATTCCATTTTTGACACTGCTTTATGTATTTGTCTTATTACAAATTTCAAGCTCAAGATCTGTTCCAAGATACTGTTGTGGACCAGATCATCAAGAATTTCACTTTTGAATTTCAGTGTTGAAAACTGGTTTTTGTTCCCATTCTGAGTTTTATATTTTTTATACTCTCCCCCCAAATACTTAAAAACAACTTTGAAAAAGAATATATGAGGTATAAGAGAAGAATTTATGAAGATGCCATTATTTAAAAAGTTGATAAAATGACTGCAGTGTATGTGTATAAACTATAGGTGTGCAAGTATGGATACTAAAGTATAGGAAGCACATCTTGAAACTAACAGCTATGGGTAAATACTGCTTTTTTCCCTTGGGATACTTTGTTGTCATTTTTGAGTGTGAGCATGCTGAAAAGGATGTGTGAAGATGAATGACATGCTGATAAGTAAAGACAAACTTCTGCTTGAAAAACGTCTCCAGTATGTGAGGGTGTATGATGAAAGTCAAATGCTGACATTGTGAACACTGATGGTCACTTCTTAACAAGTTTCTGCATTATATTGTGTATAGAAATACTTATTAATATCTCATTATTATATTTCTTCCTGCTTTCCTTTCAGTTGAAAGAGAAGAGTGAGGTGTGTGGTGGTAACACAGATTCCATAGAAGAGCTGAGGAAGGCAGTTTATTTAGCTGAAGAGGCTTGTCCAGGCATTGCAGATACCATGGTGTCACACCTTGTGCAGAGGATTCAGAGGTAATTAAACTGTTGCAGTATGGCTTACAGAAAACTGCAAATCTGATTCTGTAAATATTTGGCTTATGTTGAATTGAAGAATTAATTTTTGTTTCTAATGGGGAAGAAAACCACTTGTGCCTGCAGTTTGTGCAGTTGTGTTTGCTTACTGGAAAAACACCTAATTGTGTCAGCAGTTCTGATTTCTTGCTTTGGGTGATAGCACATATGCATGTTCATCCTGTTGGTGTGCATATTGTGTGTCAAATGAGACTGGACAGGCTTTTTCCTTTGCAGTTCATGTAAGGGATACACACTTCCTTGGTTTCTGGGTGTGTGTTGCAGAGAGCACTGTGTCACTCTTAGGTTCTTTTACCCACATGGAGAACTTGACTGTTCAGTTGGTCTGTTTCCCTCACTCACATGGTCAGTGGTTCCTTGTTCATTCAAGACAGTCTGTAATGGCCTTTGGGTGACACCTCCAAAACCAGTATTTGGTCTTACTTCAAAAGGCCAAATTTAATGAGATTTTCAAACTGCCTTCCTTAGGAATTTGTTAGGAACAAATAATCAATTTTCTGTTCCATTAAATGCTGCACAAGAAAGGGTAAGAGGTATAAATGTCAGAATTGCTGCTGGAAGAGGCTATAAATGTAACATTGAATCTAGGAGCCCACAGCTGTTGTGAAATTCACAGCAGCTAGATTGGATTGCTTGGTACTAGAAAAAACTCATGTCAATGATTAATCATGGACCACTACATGGAAAAAGATCACCCGGAGCAAGTGTCTTCCTTACACTGTCTCTAACCACAGGTTGGTAAAGTTTAGGAATTCACAGCTTTGAGACTGAAGCACAGGATTTCCAGGCTGACACTTTCTCCTTCAGTAAAAACCAATGCCAAGAAACTTGCAAGCAATCATGTTTGTTGCTTTATGGGCTGTTAAGAATGAAGACCAGTCAGCATCTTTAGTGCTGAAAGGTTACTTCCAATGCCAGATGTCCTGTCCTGTCTCATTTGGTCCTGGCAGAATTGAAAGAGTTGCTGGAGCTTCCATCTCGGTTGTTTCCATTAGGGGTTCCAAAATTGAATCCAGTCTTTCATCAGCTAATATTTCAGTGTTGTATTTTTATCAGTCTGGTACAGGATCTTCCTGGAACCGGAAACCTCAAAGACTTGATGCTGCAGTTGAGACTGAAAATGGCCATGTGGAGACAGTGCCAAGACATGGGCATTTTTGGGGATGCTGGGAGTCATCTTACTTGTTCTGTCACAACAAAAACATTCATAATTTTTGTCCTGTGAGAAAGATTTCAGAACCCTTTATATACCTGTTTAGCATTGCTTTCCTTCTGTTCTGCTTCCTTGGACTGTTACTGTTTTTCTTGGTCATAATGTCTTAGAGCAGTGAAGGCAAGCACTCTATTCTCTTTCTAGGAGAGAAAGAATTATTCATAGAGAATGTTTGTCAGTGGATCACATCTGGGTGAACTTTCTCTATTTTTCAGGGATTGTATTCCAGCTAGTATGGGATAATGACTCCAGAAAGGGAGTGAAAGAATGAATAGCAAGAAGTCCCACTAAAAATGAGCTTGAATCATTCCATAGCTTAGTAGGTTTCCCCTGGGGATAAACCTGTTTCTTGAGGCTAGTCAAATTCTGAAAAAATGATTCCTTCTTGTTTGAGTGCTGCAAAAAGTATGCTCTATTACATCATTAGGTCATTCAGTATAATACCCTCTCAATTTGATAGCTAATTCCTGAAGGTAGGTTTTCAACAACAAGTTTCTGATTACATTTTCACTCCCCCTTATGATTGGTTAGAACTGGATTTTGTAAGCTTGTCTGAATAAAATAACTGGGACCCTCAGAATAGCTGCCCTGTAATGTGTGTGAATCCGGTTACCTTCCCCCTCCAGTTTTGATTTTGGATGTTTGGTGAAGTTTACTGGAAACTTAAATTGTTAACTGTTATTAAAAGGTGTACTTAAATTTCTTTGGATGATTTAAGAATCTGCTTAGATCAAGAGATACAGTTGTCCTGGCCCAGTAATATTTTGAAAAGATTTGATGTAAGCTTGCAGAGTAGGAAGTTGGAGTCACTGAATGTTCTTCCATCATTAAGTGCTGCTCAGTAACACATTTGAGCACAGGCTGTTGCTGTTTGTTAGGAAAGCAGTGATACTCTATCAGGATTGTTCAGTTCCAAGGCTCTTCCTTGAAGGTGTGGTGGCGGTGGTGAGTGCCATTGTGCAAGGAAAAAGGCCAGAACTTCAACAGCATAAAATGGAATCACCTCATTGCTGCTTCTTGTAGAATGCCTTTCTAAAAGTTGCAACAGTAACTATTTCTTTTCCTCTTCAGATATTCCCTAGCTGGAGGAAGTTCTTCATCCTACTGACATGCTCTTCCTTCCTGGCTTTCCCAAGACAGCAGAGATGCCATGGTGTCTGCACTGAAGGTGTGCACCCTAATGCTGTTCTGCCTCTCAGTCTCTGGAAAGTCCTTGGGAGGAAGGACGTTCTAAGAGTGAAAATGAAGTCTCTTGGATGGAGGCAGTCTTTTTCAGCTCCTTAAAGCTATAATTTTTTAAAATTATAATTCACATATTCCAGGGAGGTGTCCTTTTGTAAAATCTGAAATGTATATTTAGGTTTGTGATAGAGAAATTGAAGATATTGAGAAACCTCAGGTATCTTGCTTTAAGAATTCCACTGAGAGATGGAGCATGGTTGTTGGAATTGTGTACAGATATGTATATAATGTCTTTTTTAAAAGAAAGCCTTTCAGTGTGCATAAGGAATCACTGTGTACAAAATGGTAAAGTGCTTTTGTAGATAATGTTAGTGAGGTAAACATTTGACAGGCCATAACTGAGTATTGCCTTGCCTTTATTACATGTAAAGTTTGAATTATGTGGTAAGTGAATCTCGGCTAGATTTTTGTATGTGAAGTATTTGCCATTGAAAGAGTTAATCCTGTATTATAGAACCTTCTATTTGTACCTCAGCACAGACACAATTTTATTCTGTTTCTCTAACATTTCTTTCTTTTTACTTATATTCTGAGCATCACTTTCTGTTTATGGTACTACTTCTAGTTGTTTTAAATGTCATACACCTGGTCTCTCAAAGCTTTAAATTTAAATTATTGTTTTTCCTAGAGAATGAGTTCTTTCATATCTTCAGTTTCAAACTGTGCCAATGCAAATTCTGAAGTAGTTCAGTTTTAGTAACAGATATTTGTGAAGCTTGTGAAATTCAGACACAGGTTGTTTTTTTTTTCACCTGAACATGTTTAAGTGAAACATGTTTATTCCCTTCATTTATACTGAAATTATCTCCTTAAGGTGTAGATTCTGAGACAGTGGCAAGTATTTCTTTATCATGCCTATTTTTATCATTAAAACTAATGTCTTTTGGCATAAAAGAGAAATCATCCATAGATTGACTGTTTGGTCTTGCTGCCTAGATCTGTGCATCTCTTTACCAGAATGGATAGATGTTGGACAGAGAGACTGAGAAACAGCCCAAGTGCTGTGTGCTGGGTCCTGCTGCTTGCCTCTCCAGAGAAGAGTTACTTCTTGAAATTCAGAATTTTAAGATTTCCACTATTCCTGTGAGGGCTTCTAGATAGCAGACTTCAGGTGTGATAGATGTTGGAAACAGTAATACTAGTCCATTAGTTGTATGCACAGTTGATTAGGTAGCTGCTATTGTTTTCCCCCCCACAGTATTACTCTGAGGTTCACCTTGGTTGGTTTCACCAAGACTATATTCAGGTTCTTCTTATTCCAGTAGCTAAGAGAGCATTTTTGCCTTCTTTTAATGAGGAAATTGATGACTTTATGCTTTGCATGACCGTGAAGTAACTTAACATATTTACTTTTTAAAAAAAATATGGATGGAAGCTTTGGAACAGAAAGGCTTAACATTTAAAATACAGGCATATCTGCCTTGCTTGGTACAAGAAACCCAGGTACTCTAACCATTGTGAAAGCTGGTGAGGTCTCCTTCCAGGACTTCTATCACCATGGTAGCCCTTAGTCTATGCATATTAATAGCCTTAATTTATTAATTTAAGAATTTAACAGTAAGAGGACACTGTCTTGCTAACAGAGCTAGTAAACTTCTGCCCAGGTTGGAACAATAGTTGGAAGAAATGTGCGTGTGTGTTCATCTTGAGGCCATGCTTTCAGGCATTACTCATTTGCCAACCTAATGAGGTAACGGGTTTCCTTTATGGCTAAGGAAATTTAAAATAAATTGAACAATGCTAAAGTCTGAGCAATGTTTTACAACTCCACTTAGATTAATAGTTTTAATTATGTTGTTCAGTGTGCTCTCAAGTGTTATGGATAGGCTCACTTTTGAGGAAACAGATTTAGCGCTGCTTTTGTGAAATGGGCATCAGAATGCAGTGCAATGGAAATTTACCTGTTGACGTCTCAATATGAGAGCATTCAGCCTTCAATAGATCCCTGTGCTGTGACTGCACAAGGAAATCAACAGGTGTGTTTGCACTGGAAATGTAAATTGATCAGTGTAAGCTGTTCCCTAGTCATCTGTTAATGTAAGGACTGGAAATTTAAGTGAGCTTAATTGGAGATGCACAGAACTCTGAGACTTAGTGGGGAAGTTGAAACTTATGCTGCTGGCTTGAATGTCAAGAATTTATCAATCAGCAAGTTGAATTAAATTCTTAGCTACACTCTTTGAACACTCATTTGAAAAGTTATATGTATGTGTTTTGAGTTGCATTTTAATTGTGTTCCAGGACTGTATGTTGAGGAAGTACTTCTCTGAGTAGAAGAATTTACTTGATGTGTCGGAGCTTAAGATGAGTAAGACTTGTGGTGAGGGCAGGTGGCCAAAAGGCTTGGGCATTTAGAAGAAGACAAGACCTCATTTATGGTAGAGATGTGTATTTTTATATGTAATATACAGATTATTTAAATATAGACTATCTTAAATTGAGATTCACTGAAAAAAAAGTGTGCTGTATCTTGAATGTAGAAGTACAATCATTTGCTATTAAAAAGTATTGATGCTTTAAAAATCAGGTCTATATTGATAACAGAAGAGGAGCTTCATTTGAAAGAAGCACCACCTCAGTTTCTCAGAGGAAAAGAAGTGTATTGATATTTTTGAGAGGTTTTTTTCATGCTTAAAACATGTCTGTGTTACGATGTTGCACTGATGATTTTTCTGTGCAGGTAGTACTTCTCTCAGTCTTGACTATACTAAATGACAAGCTATCCCTATTTATGCAAACCCTTAAATTAGTAGAACTGCTTATTTGTCAGGGATTTCATGATTAGGCAGTAAATAAACTCACTGTTTAAAAACAATAAAATCAGTTATTTGAACTGAAGGCTTGCTTTTTTATAACTCTCAGATCTATTTTTTTACCTTAATTTTCTCTGCAGTTGCACTTTGTGGTTGCTGTGCAGTTTACTGAAGGATGATGTGCTAGGGCACAGAACACTTCTGTGTAGTGACAAAGCAGTGACTTCACTCTGCAGTGCCACGGTTCCTTTGCAGCTCCATCACTGTGTGTGAGCTTGTGGGAACAGAAGATGAACTGATCTTTGTGGAATGCCCTAACTGGGGTGTTCTGCCCCTGCTGTGCAAGAGGGGCAGGTGGAGAGGGAAGGTGAGGCTGGGTGTGTTGGCACCTCACTGCAAAGCAGCTGGCTCAGTGTGAGTTCCCATCCTCCTGCAGCCTGGCACCCCATCACCTGCCTCTTAATGTGCTTTTAATGTAGTTGGGCAATGTCTTCTTTAGGTCTCACTACTTTCTGTGACATTCTGTGTTACTTTTTAAACTGTGTGGTACCAGTCTGTAGGAGTTTTACACTAACCTGACTTTAAAGGAAATATGTTTTGCCTTTAAAAATGTCACCATTGGAAGGTTATCCAGAGTGCTGATAAGAACAGGTGTCATGCAAAGATCAGGACAATTCCAAATCGGTTTTGTAGGCTGCTGGGGAGGAGCTGAAGGTATAGCACGAATGTGTTTCCTGGTTTTAGCTGTGCTGTGCAGATGTGCTGGGAACTGCACTGAGTGTATGCCATGGACAAATTGTATGCAATGGTTTCCTGCCACCTCTAATGCATGATTACAGAGGACCATGAACGTGTGTGTCTTGTTTACTGTAACATTGCTGCCTGTTTATAACCATGTATTTCAATTTTAGTTTTGTCACTCTACACCAACACAGTAAACCTCCTTGTAAACTACGTGACCTAGAAATAAAGAAGGAAAAGTTTCATGAAATGTTGCCACCTGAGTGGTCAGTGAGATGAGATTCAGGGCCCCTTCCCTCGAGGGGACGCTCTGTGGGCTCCCAGAGCAGTTATTGCCCATGTGTCAGCAATGATATGCTGAAAGGTCATTAAACAGTGTTGGGTTTTTTTATGGCAATCAGAATTTGTAGCACTTGCAGATGGCAGTGAGTTAAAACCCACCTTGCAGCCTCCATCCTGCCAGCCCAGTGAAACTGATTAAGTGCTCACAACAAACTACATGGATTGCACCTTTACCTGGTGACAAACTCTGTGACAGCTGCACTCCAGCAGTTGTACTTCATTACTATTTTCTGCTGCTAAAACCTGTATGTGTGGCACATTGCCAATTATTTTGTCCCCTACCAGCGTTCCTGTGCCCCAGGGCACGGGCAGTGTCCCTGTGCTGTAGCAGATGGAGTTGTGCATCTGCCTGCACATAGGTAACTGTGCTTTTGAGGGCTAAGACCACGTAATTGGTCCTGTATAGAAAGAAAGAATGGGCAAGATCGGGCTTTTCAGGTCTTTCTTGATCCTCTTTCTTGGCTGATGGAATGGCAGGCTATTACACCTGATTTTGTCTCTAAAACAAATTTTTCTCCCTCCTTAGTCAGAGACTTTCATCAAGATTTTTGCAATCACAGCATGTTTTCCCCTACCTGCTGACTTGTCTTTCAGTCTGTCATTTTTGTCTGGTTTCAGCTGAATTTACAAAGGCATTAAGGTGTCAGTGTTGTTCAAATAAAATGTTCTGAAAAGAGGTAGGTTTGAGGTATATTATCAAACACATCTTAACAGAGGTTAAATTAGACAGCAGATAAATGGCGGAGATGCTTAATCTTGTTGAAAAAACCACAGGAGTCCAGGCTTTTTTGATCCCTTTGCCTGTGGAGCTACCTCCTGAGGCAATGAAATCCCTGTTTTGTTTTTATTTGTCCATTATTGGAAACTGGCAGCTATTTCATGGTGAGTAATAACAACACCAGCAGCAAATCTCCTGGAGTGCCCCATCTGAGGTTTGCCTGCAGCTGAGAGAGATGTGTTTAGTGATAGCTCCTGACCTGGCACACAGTGACCCTCCCTCTCTGCAGGCCCTGCTGGGCTGAGCAGGCAGTGCTGTGATGTGAATCAGGATTAAAAATAAGTGGTTCTACATTAGAGCTTTCTAGTACATTGAGTTTTATTCACACATGTGGACTCTGCCCATTTCCAAGATAGGAGAATCATGACAAGTGATTTCACTCTCTTACTATCATTTCAGTTTTGGGTTAACCCTGGGAATAGACACCTAGAAAAATGCTGACAGGTGACAGCAGTTCAAATGGTTCCATTTTAAAAAGAAATAAAAAATCACACTAGGAGAGAATAAAAAAAAAGGCTTGTGTGCAGCTTTTTTTATAGGAAAAATACAAAAAGGTAAAAATGGTGATTAGGTGGGTATTCTAAAAGTTGCACCCACAGCTTAGCTTGGTCTCTGCTGTTAAAATAAAGATCACTGTATTTTGGTCTTTGCCTTATTTTCCAAATTCACCTCGTGTAAAAATGAAACTTAATGAGAAAAAGTGTTACTTGATTTCTTTGGAGAGCTCAGAATAAACTACTGCAGCAGATAGCAGTTAATGAACATTCTATTCAACAGGCCCCAGGGTTCTAAATTAAAATTCAGTTTGGCTGAATTAAGGGCATGGCCCTCAATATAATTTCCATTAAAAAAAAGTCTTTCACTGTTAGAGACAACACTTCTAAAGGGAAGAGGCAGGGCCCTGTCTTGTAAGGTACTATTTTACCACTGAATAATAATTTTTGGCAGGACCAGGTCTGCAGCGTTTTACCTCATAGCAACATCGAGTGCTGTTGCTTTTCCAGCATTGTTTTCCCAGACCAGTATGGCTGCAGCTGAGTTGTTGTTCACCTGTGCTGTGCTATTTCCTCTTCTCCTCACTATGCAGATCAGTGCTCACATTCCTGGACAGTCCTGAAGCACTGGAATTCCTGTATGTTACTACAGGGCAGGGTGACAGGCTCAGAATGGACAAGGCAGTGGGACCTGCAGCTGAGAAAATGGGCTTCAGATTTTCCTACCTACATTCCAAGTCTGTCCTTCAGCACATCTTAGCCAGAGGCAGTGCTCCAGGGTAGGTGTGATTATGGCACTGGTGTGGAGAACCAGGGGCACCAGCTGAGGCAAAGAGCAGCTGCAGCACTCTGCCTGCCCAGGGGGCTGAAGGTCTCCCTGCAGCTGAAGGAAATGCTCTGGAAAGAGTTTCCCTTTGGCAGGATGTGCTTGGATTTGGCCGTGAGGACTGCTGCTTGTCCTAAAGGGTTTGGAGCCCATCCTCATCTCGGACAGAGGTATGTCTGGGATTGGGGTAACAGAAAGAACACTTTACTGTCTCAAAACAGGCATATGTACAATGGTGGTGTGAGGTATTTTATTCCCTTTTGTTGTGAGCAAAGCTGTAAGAAGCCATTTTACACATCGCACACAGACAAGCCATTAACAGAGCGAGTAGCTGGATGAAGAAAAAGCAGGGATAGAACTTGCCCAGCTTCCTTTCCCACAATGACCTTCAGGCCCCCTCTGCTCAGCACCATGCTCCCTCCAAGGCCTGTAATGGTGATGGGTGCTACCAGCACAGCAAACTTCTGCCCGTGGAAGTTTTACATCACCCTAGTGACAGTGTTTCTCAGAGCACAAGGGAAAGCATCTAAGCCTTGCAGATACAGTGCTGCCAGCCTTCTCAGCGCCACCAATTGATCCAAAATGCGGAGCCAGCTGATGTTGAAGTTAGGCATACGAAATGGGTAATTCTGCTGCAGGTTGTGTGAGTCACTCTCTGTCTGCCTGAGCCCCAGGGGAGAGAGGGAGAGACTGAAATTCCAACAATAAACTGCAAGTCAATTTGGGATGTGTAGCAAGCAGGATGAAAACTCGGGGCTTCAGCAGTACCCCCCAGCTTAGAGCAATTTAGTTACCAAAACACTACAAATGAATCACAAATAGCTGCAGTTCTTGTAGCATACAGGTTTTCTTTCAAGTTCGTAAAACAAACAGCAGAATGTCACCACAGCCTTTAATTTCTCCTTGTACATAACCATTCACAGTACATTAACAGCCCAAATAATATTGCACTGGATTATTTTAAAAATTTTTCGTCTTGCAAGTAGTACTCACTTTTCAAAGCCAACAGATGAATGATTTGGTCAACTTGCACCAAAAAAATGGTTAGGTAAGAACCCTATACTTTATTTATACCACATGGATTTGTGACCCCAAAGGGAAATGAGAATGAGCTGTCAACTGTTTCCTTGTTAAACATAGAAAATTAGTAAATCGTTGCTGATTAAATGTAGAAAGACTGGGGGGAAAAAGCATGAAATCTGAAAGTTATCTCATTCCTGTTAGACTGCTTGCTGTATATATAATTATATTCTCTACTGTGAAAATCCATCTACATTTAAAAGCCCAGCAGTCTACAGATTAACATGGTAAAAAAAAATAATATATTTTTATGAAAAGAGAAGAAAATAGTGTTTGCCTCAGAGGAGAAAGTTTTCATATTTCAGTCATCTGGGAGTTCTTTTAGGTGCAATCTTTGAGGCAACAAAACGTCTTTTGGCATTTGGCACTCTAATAAGGACAATATTTTAATACTGGCACAAGCTAAAAACAGCACAGAATGACAAAATACAAGACATGAAATGAACCGCAGCCACTGGGATGATGGTAAGCTAGTTTGTATATTCAGAGAACTTAAACAGTTTTGCTGAGGAATTGTGAAAGTTTCTGCAAAACCATACTCAATTCTCTTCTTTTACCAAAGTGTAAGTTTTTCTAAACTTGGAGGGAGAAAAAGAGTTTCAAATGTCCTCTAGAAAATCAGCAGCTGCTGGACAATCACCCCAGCGGCTCGTTCGGCCGTCAATAGGCGTGAGGCTCTTTGTGGCTCAGAGCTCGAGCGCGAGAGGCAGAGCTGGTGGCACTTCGGATCACTTCCATCCACCTGTGAGCAGGCACCAGGACAGACACAAACAGAAGGAAGGTCAGTTCCCAGGGGAGGGTTTCTTGACAGGCACAGTCTGTGC